CAACTACAGATGAAGACTGAGGAAGAACTCTCTAGTAAGAAGATGAAGGTGCAAGAGGATTTATTTACCTCTAGCCCTCAGTTAACTCCTTAGAAGCTAATCATGGATAAGCTCATACTCGAGAAGACTCAGATGGAGAAGCAGATCAAAAAGCTCAACATGAAACTGTAAGGAGAATCTCTTTAGGACTTTTGTTAGCTTTTATTTAGCTTTTTGTTTAAGACTCTTGTAAGAAGTACTAAATTTGTAATCCTCTCTTTTGATTAATGAAAATGAGTTTCCTTTGATTTTTTTTTATGTTTGCAAATATTTATTGAGCTCCTTGAAACCATTAAGCTTGCATTTGTATTACATTCATATCACCGCATTTGCATCTCATGTGCATTGCTCTAGCTCATTCCATTGCCTTCTCTCCAGTTTTCCACACCAAATATGTCACCTTAGTACTGAATCCAATTGCAAGAGAATATGGATCATTTGGAACAATAAAATTCTCTACCATAATGAAGACTTTGATAGGCAAACAAGAGCAAGAAAATCAAGGGCTTTGAGATGAATTTGCAAACTTGAAGGCTGCTAAAAGGTGTCTGACAACTTTGGTCAAAGAATTGGTCATCTCTCAATGTCAGGATGGTTCTTCTTCCTCCATTAATCAGCCAGCTAAGTAAATCGGTGAGTCTAGGGACATCCCAGTATACTATGCCAAGTTATTCCCTGTCCTCGTACAAAAAGATCTGATCAAGACAGCAACTCCACCCGCTATCTCAATGGCTCGTATGAGCTACTTCAAGACTGATGCCTTATGTGCTTTCCATCCAAGAGCGCCTGGCCACGACATTGAGGAATATTATGTTCTTAAGGAGAAGGTGAATGAGATGGTTCAAAAGGGGATTCTGTATTTCAAAATGTGCAAACCCCGGGTTCAAACCACTATTTTGCTTGAACGTGGAACAAGCCCCTCCTTGCACATGGCGGACTGATGCAGAAGATTGTTCCTTAGGCTACATCTTATCATATTTTAAGCTTATTTGTTGTTTTCATGTGTAATTTTCTGCGTTTGTTAATGCATTTGTTTTGACGTTGTAAGAACTTGTTATTTTGAATGCATTGAATATGTTTGTCTTGAAGAAATCCATTTGTATTCACTCGTTTAAAACACTTTTCTGCTTTATAAATGACAATACCATCCAATCTCTTGCTTAGGCAGAGAATTGAGTGGAGGATGATGAAATAGAAAACACAAGATCTCTTGTTGAATGATTTTGAATAAAACATGTTGATGATGTAAGACATTGTTTTAAACTCCCAAACACTGGAGATACATGGAAGATAGTCCCTCTTTAACCCCCTCGAGCCTTGAAGTATAAGTTTTCCTTTCATATATAAAAACCCTCAATTTAAATTGGGGCAGGGTAGTCTTCAGTTAAGTTGATCAAAAGGAAGATAAAATATCCTACAATCTATTATACCAAAGCCACAACAAGCAAAAGGAAGATAAAAGACATAAAAACCACAAAGTAGTTTGTTTACCTAGTTTGATCAAACCGATATACTATGGAGGAGAGAAACTCTTTAATTTATTATACTTTAAAGAATTGTTACAAGAGATTACAAAAGAGTTACTAGAAAATAGTCACTCAAATTCTCAAGAACAAACTTTATTTTCTACTTAAGTGTTTCTCAAATTTTCCAACTCTTTACGTATGAATCACACAAGTGTGTTTAGAAGTTTTTCCAATTCCACTTAGATACCTCCAAAGGTTATCTAAATTTCAAAAACATAATCATAAGAGTTTCTACCATTACCTTTAATTTTCCACTAGGATTCTTAGCACTTCTCTATGTCTTCTATTTTAAAGTGTAAGGACAAAAGCGATAGAGATAAATATTTATAAATATTGAAACCCAATGGGTTCATAATGACCCAAAACACTACCTATTAACGAATAGATATGTGTACCAAAACGACCAAGCTCAATACCTACAAATCACCTGAACATGATTCAATGCCCCGAAGATGTGTCCCTATTGTCCGCCTCGCCGCCAGAGCTTCGTTGTTTTCATTTGTCATACTCTTGTCGACCATCTCCAGCAGCCACAATGTCTTCTTCCTCTGGACTTTTGACTTCGTATAATTATTTGTCGTCAGACTTCCTAATCGATAGAATCAATCGCCATCGGTGATCGATTGATTATCACCTCTACAGTTTGATACTCCTGTACCAATGTCAAGTCTGACCGCTGGACTCTGTCGTTAGTCTTCCCACTGAACCTCCTCTCCGCGATTGTGGCATCCCTTGTCAAATTTTTTTATTGTTTTTTTAACTTTCTACAAATTTAATTTTTAAATATCTCGAAATACAGGTCTCTAATCTTTTGCTTAAGTTAAGGTTTAAGAGTTATTTCTAACTTAAGTGATCCTCATTAATTATTTAAGAATGAAGAGATACTTGTACCTTAAGTGATTCTAATCTATTAAATTTTGTATAGACTAATAACATATTTAAGTTATCAATATAATAAAACGAAATCGTTGGCCTAAATCAAAGTTTCCACCAATGAAGATATACACACAAGCTCGTAATAATAAACTTTAGACGCATAAAAGTCAAATGTAGTATCTAACTCCACCATCCATCACCAAACTGGCATGCATTTAAGGGTTCAGCCCAACACTTGAGAACTGTTTCCCTTTGGCTTCCTACGTCCAACTTGCCAAATGAATATTCAAATAAGCAAAATTCAATTAAATTATTACTACTATAAAAAAACATGTCTAATGAAAAAATATAAGGTTTATTGCAATTTTCATCTTCTAATTTTATCTAATTTAGAAAATCAGTCTTTTATTTCAAAATCATATAATTTTAACAATTTTTTTATATTTTTGCACTTAAAATTATTAATTTATTCATTTTTAAATGATGTGTCATTTGTAAAATTTAACAAATCATTAGATATAAATCTTTTATAGAACATTATAAATAAGAAGTATAATTTGAAAGCTGACACTTTATCGATTTGTTGTAAAAAAGATAGAGCAGATAAAAATTGTTTGATTTTAAAATATATAAAAAATAATCTAATAAATTAAATTAAATAGAGAACTGAAATTGTAGTTTAGGCAAAAATATATAAGTGAATTTAATTAAAAAAAAGAATTTTTTTCTTAGAAAAATTTGATGAAGCAAAATGGTAAAGTAAAAATTGTAAAAGTAATTTAAATAGAATACAACAGCATCATTGGTATAAAATAAAAGACCTTAATAAAATTGTCAAAGTAATTCAAAATAAATTATTATACTTTGTCGGTTTTTATTATAAGTTGTTTTGGGGAAAGTTTTGTATTAAATTATAATTTTTTATAATATTAATAAATTTTTATTAATTTTATTTTTTATTATATTTTAAAATATTCATTATTTTCTTTTTTATTAATCATTTAAATTTTTTTTAATATCATTACTATAGAAAATTTTATAAAAAATTATAATTATTTTTTTATACAACAATGATTATATTTTTTAATACAAATAAAAATGTAAAAATAATTTATAATAAAAAATAAAATAGTATCCCATTAATAAAAAATGTATGAGTTGTTTAATAAAAAAAGTATGAGTTGTTTAATAAAAAGAAAGTGTGAGTTGTATTCATTAAAAAAAGTGTGAGTTGTATAAATATTACATAATGTTGTATATACCACTCATTAATAGTGAACCAAAATCAAAATATGTTCATTAAAAAAACTCTATGCAAGATACTAGTTAATACTATCCATGAATGCATTTTTTCTAATTACAAATGTTAATAATAGTTTGTGAGTTGTGTGACACTTGAGTGATTATAACACAACATTGATCCTATTTATTTTTCAAACTTCAAAAAAAAGGTTGAGAGTTTTGTTATGTGACATGTACTACTTAATACCATTAATTGTTTCTTAATGACCAGCCACCAACAACCACCCGCTTTTCCATTTCTGCCTTGCCAACTGCTGCACGATACCCACAATATTCGGAATACTTTCTTTTTCATTTTCTCCATTTTATCAAACACAATATTGGATGTGCTATCAAAAATATTAGCACCTATTAAAAAATGATTGGTTAGAAAATTTAATTTTTTTAATTAATTATATACAGAAATGATATCTGGTTTCGAAAAAGAAAAGGCAAAAACAAAAACGAAATGTAGAGATGAAGACAAAGTCTTCACACTTTCTTACACTCTATTGTCTTTTCACTGTCCAATTCTGTCACGTTATATTTTCAATCGGTGGTGACGTTTCTTTCTGGCTTGGAAAAACAAAATAGCTTTTAGCCACCGATAGTTACACTAGTCAAGTAGGGTAACTAGCTTAGTAAGTACTTGTACTTATCCAAAAGTAATGCTTTTCATTTCATTGAAAAAAGCTGCTTTCATTTTTTTGCAAGTAGTTCACCTATATATCCATAATCTATCTTTCTTTAAACTACTTTTTCTAAATTATTTTCACATGATTAAAATAAGACTAGCTTTCTTCGGTTAATAACCAAAGTCCCATGTGGTTTAACTATACATTCATTGAAAAAAGGAAAATTAAAATTGGCAGGTTAATTAATTTGGTTAAGTTAGGCTATGTTTGTTAGAAAATAATGAATAATTAATAAACTAGTAGTAAATTAATGTGGATGATTTATAAACTAATTGATTAAATTTATAGTGTTTAATATTAATTGAATTAATTTATAACAAGTCATTTTTATTTTGGATTTTTTTATATGAAAAAGGAGAAGCAATAGGAAAGTTTCCATTTAAGCCATTATTGTAATTTACCCATTAAAGAAACTACGTTTTCAGCTTCTTCCAAACGCGATTCCCCGCTTTATAAATTGACGATACCGCAATTTTTTTTCAGAAACATCACAATCTCAATTCATACAAACACTTAGCACCGCTTCCACATACAAGTATATAAGCAACAAAAAATACACACATTGCCAGAAAGTAATTTAGATATGGATAAAGAGAATCTAACAGCAGAAATGAATTTCAAAGACTCAACTTCGGCCGTGATAAAAATCCGGCAACGGTTGCCGGATTTACTACAGACGGTGAAGCTGAAATACGTCAAGTTAGGCTACGGCTATTCATGCAACGCCACAACCATTCTCATTTTTGCTCTCGTCGTTCCTCTCTTGCTCTTTCTTGCCGTTCAATTTCAGCTCACCGATCTGAAACTCGACCGACTCTCAGAGCTCTGGTCAAACCACACCATCCATCTCGAAGTGGAGACCGCGGTCGGTTCAATCGTTCTCCTCTTTCTCTTTGCTGTGTACTACGCGAAACGAGCTTCGCCGATATACTTGGTCGATTTTGCCTGCTACAAACCGGAAAATGAACGGAAGATAACAGTGGAATCGTTTGTCGAAATGTTAGAAGATAGCGGCAAATTCGGAGAAGAAACACTTCAATTTCAACGCAGAATTTTATCAAGAGCAGGTTTAGGCGACGAAACGTGTTTACCGAAGGGAATAACTTCCCGTCCGCCAAATCTATGTATGGAAGAAGCGCGTCAAGAAGCAGAAGCAGTAATGTTCGGAGCATTAGACGCGCTTTTCGCTAAAACTGGTGTTAATCCAAGAGATATTGATATTCTTGTGGTGAATTGTAGCTTGTTCAATCCAACACCTTCGCTTTCTGCTATGATTGTGAATCATTACAAGCTGAGAACAGACATAAAAAGCTATAATCTCGGCGGAATGGGTTGTAGTGCAGGTCTTATTTCAATTGATCTAGCGAAAGATCTTCTGAAAGCGAATCCAAATTCGTATGCAGTGGTTTTAAGCACGGAGAATTTAACTTTGAATTGGTATTTTGGAAACGACCGATCAATGCTTCTTTCGAATTGCATTTTCCGAATGGGTGGTGCTGCTATACTGTTATCGAATAAACCATCGGATTTTAACCGGTCTAAGTATAAACTGGTTCACACGGTTCGAACCCATAAAGGAGCTGATGATAAGAACTATAACTGTGTTTATCAGAAAGAAGATGAGAATGGGAAAGTTGGCGTATCGTTGGCTAGAGAATTAATGGCTGTCGCTGGAGATGCTTTGAAAACGAACATAACAACATTGGGTCCAGTGGTTTTGCCATTTTCTGAACAGTTGATGTTTTTTGTGTCATTGGTTAGAAGAAAAGTGTTGAAAGGTTCGCGTGTGAAGCCTTATATACCAGATTTCAAGCTTGCTTTTGAGCATTTCTGTATTCATGCTGGTGGAAGAGCTGTTCTTGATGAGATACAGAAGAATCTGCAACTGAGTGAGTGGCATATGGAGCCGTCGCGGATGACTCTGCATCGATTCGGAAACACTTCCAGCAGTTCTCTCTGGTATGAACTGGCTTATGCAGAGGCTAAGGGTCGGGTCGCCAAAGGGGATCGGGTCTGGCAGATTGCGTTTGGGTCGGGTTTTAAATGTAACAGTGCGGTCTGGAAGGCGGTGCGCGACTTGCCGGTCGTCGGAGATTGGCGGGGTAACCCTTGGGATGATTCTGTTGATAAGTATCCTGTTAGTGTGCCTGTTTCTGTTAGTACTTAAGTTCTGTTAAACAAAATTGTTCATTTTTTTTCCTGTGGTTTGTTGTTATTATTAGTTGTTAATTTTTAATGTAACAAAAAAAAAGTATATTATTAATTATTGCTATTATTTTATAAGTACTTGCGAGTTAGTATATCATTGATTAAATGTGATTGATCATAGTTTATGTTGTATCTTGTGTGATACTAGTATAACTTAGAATGTGCATGTGTGGGTTCTCTATTTGGATACTATATCTATATGTAGTAATCTACTACTAAAAGGGGGATAAAATTCTTATTTTGAAACAACTAGGTTTGAGGACATGACTTTCCTTTTTGTATGTTGTTTCACATTTATAATGATTCTTAAAAGATACTGTACTTTTCAGGAGGAACAAGATTCTACAAACAATCCACATTAATAAAAAGTTTAAAACAATGACTGAGATCTAGATTCTTATAACACCAAATACTCAGTTTTGGAACATTTTACTGTGTTTATATATTTATGGTGAATCTTATTAGATTTTTATATAATTATTTTTATTTACCACCATTATCATTGGTTGATTTCTTTAAATATTTTTCTCTTTAAATAGTTTATTTATCATTTGCACTCTTGTTAAATTGGAGAGTATGCACACAACATTCGGTTTTTTTAAATATAATTGAAAAACTATGTATTATTTTTAGGTGGAGAAATTGTTAGAAAAAAATAATTCACTCGATTTTTAAGAGAAACGAGAGATAATGAAAAGTGCACATAGTCATCAACATCAAACTCATACTATAGTTTAAGGCCAAATAGAGATAATCCCCTCCTATACAAGGTTTAAAGTAATGCAAAAATAGTAATAAATATCGATATCGATACTAAATTATAGTAATAAATATCATTATGCTTTTTCTGTTTTTTTTGCATAAATCAGTATACTTTACTTTCATTCATTTACTTTCTTTCTTTTTTTAATATATTGCCTTGCAAGTTATTTAGATTGGAATGCTTCATTTTTTTCGCAGACAAATGAATATGTGGCACTGTTGCTATGAATAGTCCAAGGACTTGTGCTATATATTCATCAAAAAGTGAACAGGGTGGCATTGCAAGACAATGTAATATCTTCTTATACATATGTTCATTCCACCTTTTTATAATAATAAACAATAAAGAAACAGCTGTCAGAAAAACTATAAAGAAACTTCTGGTTATTATTGTAGAATTTTTTGGGATTAATTTTTTACTATTTTTTAATTTGCCTTTAATACTTTCTTAGTCACTCTACAAAATAATTTAAATATTATTGATTTTCAGATATGCATTTTCGAACACATTAATTTTTAAATAAATGTTAAAATATTTTAGAGATATATTTTTAGAACAATTTAAAATATTCAATACATCCTACTCAAAAACTATTTATATTTGAACTGTACCGAAGATGTATCCCCGTGACTATTTTGGAGATCCATCTCCGTAACGTATCAGAACATGTCTTTCATGTTCTATGTTGTTTATCTGTGTTCAAATGAAGATTTAAACTATATCGTACAATCGAAAATAAAAAATAGACATACATAATTCCAGATGGACCAAAAATGCCATACAAAAATAAAATATCAATAAATGTTGAAAATGTCATACAATCGAGATCAATAAAATACTAAGACAGTCAAAATAAAGTATAGACCCTAGTACTACTACTATATAATAAGAGACTATTGTGTGTGTCTGACAACCTCCTCTGCCTCGCCTACCTCCTCGACCATCAATTCCCCCTATCTTTCGGCGATGTTTTCAGAACAACAATGCCTCATGCGCCTCCGTCATGATGGCATCTAGGACCCGCCTGACATCAGACCCATTAGGGAAGATACTTGTGTCAATGCCTGCCTGCGCAATCTCCACTATGCGACGATGCTTAGGCAAGACATCATCAATATGATATAGTTGTGCTTGCTCCTCCTATAGTACCTTTTGATGAGCTGGTCTCGACGGATCTCCTGGAGCAGCATGCACCATGTACGGATGTGACACCCTAAAGAACCATCTAATGTATTATTTGACGTAGCTTCAGTCACTCTCAGTTATGGTAGCACGTGCCTCCTCCGGTACCAAATGACTCTCATAATCATCAAACATGTCCTCTATTTGTCTATGTATCAAGGAAGGAGGAGCAGAGACATCAGGGTGTCTGGGAATGGTCTGAGTGTAGTCAAACTGCCACATGACGCGCTCGGGCAGATGAGGAGCAGTGAGACGTGATCCACAGGCCAACCATCCATGGTGAAGGTGAGAAAATACTTAGAGGGGGGTTGAATAAGTATGTAGAAAAACTTAGTAATAAAAACTCAAGGATTTTTATCCTGATTCATTGAACTCAACTACTCCAGTCCACCCTATCAAGAGTGATTTACCTTTCTCAAACAAGGACTTAATCCACTATTAAATCAACTGATTATAATAGTAAGCACTAAGAATAACTGTTCAAAGTCTTCTCAAGAACTACTGATCCTAACTGGATCTTCTTAAGGTTCTTTTACAATCAAATGTAAATAATAATACAAGTGTTTAATTTGCCTCTAATAAAGCTTTATCACAACTGTGATTTTTCACTTTAGATTAAGAACAATGAAATAAATTTAGCAAATGAGTATAAGTTGTATGAGAGCTTGTAATGAATTCTTTCAAGTATTTCGTCAACTGAAGAAGATGAATGGAGTCTTGCTTTTATAGGCACAGAGGTCCAAGAGCTTTTCACGTTAAAGGTTGTGTACTAAAAACTTCTGAGCTTTTTTGTCTTCACATCACATGACCTTTCCTAGAAGTAGAATGCACAGAGAAATCCTTTTTGTATGTGTTCTTGTGTCTAGCATAAATGAGGAAAGAGTCGTTTGGTCATTCCAACGGACATAACTTTGAATTCTTCTTCAACAAGTTTCAGCAAGTATCATCAGAGTCTAGATTGATCAGAGCCTTCTGATGTTCATCAGAGTTTGCTGAATCAGAGTCTTTGCAGCAGGTGTGCTTTCAGCGTGTAATTGTTCAGAGTAGAGTTTGGAATCAGATCCTCAGTACTGGCAACATTAGTACTATCAGAGTCTTCTGAAATAACTGTGCTTGAAACTCTTCATACAGAATTCTTCAATGCTTCAGATGCTTCTGGCTTCTGCTTCAGATTCTTCTGTTGCTTCTGCTTCAGATCCTTCTGTAGACAGCGCTCAGAATCTTCTGTAGACAGCACTCAGAATCTTCTAAGAGATGCTTCTGATGCTTCAGAGCCTTGCATAATTTCATGTTCAGATCTAATTTGCTTCTAGAATAATATTCACTTTTAATATCTGCAGCAAACAATCTTAAACAATTTTTAGAGTATATAATTCTTTAATACAAAATTTCATAAGAGTTATCATCAAAACATAAAGATATTATTAAGAACCAATCTGTGTTCTAACAATCTCCCCCTTTTTGACGATGACAAAAACATAAGAAATTTTGTTCAATAAACAATATAATTATAACTCCCTCTGAGATGATGAATCTCCCCCTAAATTGAATACTTAGAAGGAATAAAAACTTCCCTTTTTGCATGAGTATTCTTTTCAGAATCAGAATCTGATTGTTCCAAAAATTAGATCTTGACTTTGGATGCATGTTTCAGAATCAGAGCCTGATAGGTTAAAACTAAATCTGGGGATCTCAGAGTTACTCTAAAAGAACTTGTCAGAGTTTTCAAATGTTCTGAAATACTAAGAGTTCACGTTAGTTAAAAATTATATAAATTTATATGTCTGAATTTTCATTTAGGTAAAGTTTATTTGAACAGTCAGATCCATTTTCTCCCTTTTTTTTGTCATAATCAAAAAGTAAAACTTTTAAAAGACAAGAGATACAAATCATTAGATAAAATTCAAGTACATGTGCATAAACATCAGATACAGAAAAAAAACATAAACTAAGTTTGTTTGAACATAATCATCTTCAACAGGTTAGTGATCTCAGATGAGGACTCTTCTTGCTTTGTCATCCACTTAGCCATGTTGTCATTTTTCTGATCTTGCTTGGACATCCATTGTGCCATGTCTTCAGTGTTCTGGTCTTGCTTGGCCATCCATGACTTAATATCATATTGTCCAGCTTCCAGAACTGCAATCTTATCCTCAAGATCTGGATTCTCTTTCTTGATATCAGATGAAGAAGGTGGGGCAGAGTCTGAAGCAGGAACAGAGTCAATTTCCATGGGAGATGTAGAGTCATGAGCAACAGATCCAGAGGGATGTTCCACAATAGTCATAGCCAGAGGATTTTCTTCAGAAGCAGATTCAGCAGTTACTTCTGTATCAAATACTTCAGAAGATGAAGGAACATCTTCAAGAAGCAATGGTTCAGATCTTTTTACAATCCAGAGCATGCTTCTAGCAATCTCAGGAAATCTGAGCTTCGCATCATCAGAACATACATTCTTCAGATTTGAGGCTACAGTATTGAATATGTTGATGAAGCTATTCCAGATAGCATCAAATTCATTTGCATCCATTTTTGACAAACATCTCTTCTGAACAGAGCCTAAATGCATCTTTATTTCTTTCAGAAAACTTGCAAATAAATTATCAACATTAAGCCTAGATTTTGGTTTCAGAAGGGTTTCCAAAGTGAAAGGCTTGGGTTAAGGTGGAGGTGGAATAGTGAACTCTGGAATAATGATTAGAGGGCTAGGATAAGGTGGTTTCTTCTGAGCTGGCATAATACGAAAGTATGGTTTGATTCTGCGAATGGAAGGTATGACAGCTTTTGGATTGTCAAAATATGGAACAAACGCAGATTGGTTTTGCTTAACAAGAAAAGGAACAAAAGCTGATTGAGGTGGTTGATCAAAAAGGTTTTCTATTTCAAGTCCAGATGGAAGAGGATCAGATGGAAATGGTTTGGCAGAAGCAACTGAAACAAATTCAGATGTTCTTGTTTCAGGATTGGTAGTGTCAGAAGAAATGGGTAGATCTGGTTGGTTAGATTCAAATGTT